GAGAGAGCTTAGCAGTGTCGCAATCGTAGTCACCGAACGCAGCTGCAAGTACACGCTTTTGGCTGCAAGAGGTTGTGTGTTTTGTAAAGTGATTCAAAGAGAGCAAGCATCTTGTCGGTGTGAAGTAAACACACGTTCGGGCATCGGCTTCTTCCCATTTGCATTGTTGGTTCAGATCTGTCTGCGATTGCCAGAGCTTTACAACTGCGTTATCAACATTTGGTACATTGTGCGGGAAACTGAGGAGCACGTGCTTTTTGAAATGCGTGCCGTGAGGCCCGCACACGATGATTGGGCTAGTTCTTGACTGGCCAGTAGGAAGGACTGGGCGATCTTCCTTCCTATTGCTGATGCCGATAAACAGTTCTTTACTTTTCTCAGTGAATGCCCCCTCTGGGACCACAATGGATACCCCGTGCTGTGGAAGCGAGGCATAGCCACCTTGAGGGGTGATCAGGAATTTTTTGAGGACTAACAACTCGTCTTTAGTCGCTGAAATAGTAAACATGGGTTCGTGTTCAAAAACGTACTGGACAATATATAAACAATCGTGTTTTATATTGAGAAATACCAACACTAAGTTAGGGCTCATTCCCAATGAAATTATCGTTCTACTCAGACCCCATTCCCAGAGATTAGATCGATCCAACTAGATCGACCTAACTCCCTTGGGGTTCACGCTAAATAGCTTTCAGCCGAGCGGGCACGAAAGTTAATTACCCCCTTACAGCTTATAGTAGGCGGGACGGACATTTAAGCCGGATTATCTGACAGTAATCTAGTGAGACTCCCCACGGGGATAGATCGATCTAAAATCTATGGGAATGCGCCCTTAGATCCATAAATAGACTCACACACCTCCTCCTCGTGTTGAGTGTAATACAGAGCTGCTAGTGATTATAAGAGTACGTAAGAAACAACAGGAGGCGTGTTAATCTGATCGAATTCAGCAAGAGTCCAGGGGAGTTGGATCAATAAATGATGACCGATAATTCTATGACTGTGGCTATAATTTACATTGAAATAATGATTATTATTAAGCTATAAGACAAAATGTTAAAATCTCTCCAATTTTGGGTTCTAAAAAAGATAGCTATATCTATAACATAACATAACATAATATAACATAACATAACATAAGGGACCTTTTTAGTATTTTCATTGAAACTGTATAGTGTAGAGGACGAAAAGAAATTACCTCCATTCGCCATGGCAGCACCACCACCCTTATGGTTATATGACTTCGATGTGATTAGCAATTTCTCATGGGACGGTGGAGAGATCTTCGGATTTTCAGAAATTACCTCACCAGTTTGCGAATCCGACTGTAGTCTGCTCCGATTTTGTTTGCAACGTTGCACGTGTGCCGGTAAATCTTGGTGGGCAAACTCCCAACAGCAAAAAGGACAACTTGCCATATTCCCCGGGATTTGTTTAAAGTCCCACATATGTGGTTCTAGTTCAGTTTTCTGTGTCGCGTTGCAAAGACGCCCAAGCAGTTTTCCTGCTTGCACCGGGTCAGTCACCGTTTCAGACAAAACACTTCTGCTGGATCCAATTCCACTGTCTTCCCCGTGGTCCATATGCTTCTGTTTACATGCTCGTTGGTGACTCGCAAGTCCTTTTTTCTTATATGTTCCACCGCAAAATTGACACTGCAGCGTGTTTGATTGTTCTTGTTTAGGGTTTGCTTCAGGAGGAACTTTGCTTGATTGCAACTCGCTGCTTTCACGCTGCTCTTTTGAATCCTGTGGCTTTTGTTTACAAGACCGTTGATGAGTTGCCAGACCCCTTTTCTTGTATGTTTTGCCGCAAAATTCACATTGTATTGTTTCTGATTGTTCTTGATCACATTTTTCTGTAGAGGAAACTTTGTCTGATGGCAACTCGCTGTCCTCACCAGGTTTTACGTCCTGCTGTTTTTGTTTGCAGGATCGTTGATGATTTGCCAGACCTCTTTTTTTGTACGTTCCTTGACAAAATTGACACTGCACTTGCTCTGAGTCGGCCATCTATTTGGAGTGAATACCACGTGCCCGAACACAGTTCTTTGTGATTGCTTACCTGAATAAATAAAGAATGGTTTAATCAGTTTACAGAAATTATTTTTTGTGTTTTTTTAATTTGAATTGAAGTGGTTACTCTCTCCAAACAGTTCCAGGGACTATTTAAATATGTACAATGGACCGGCAATACACAAAGACACGGAAATAACACACACACACACACACACACACACACACACACACACGCACACACACATATTTTACCGGTCCATTGTATATATTACACTGTGTGTGTGTGTGTGTGTGAGCGTGTGTGTGTGTGTGTGTGTGTGTGTGTGTGTGTGTGTGTGTACACGTCCACGATACTGGGTAAGAAAAGTGGGACAGGAACATCAAGATTTCAACATTTCCGCTTAGAATATGCATTGTATTTTGCTTCATATACATAAATTTTGAGAAATGTAAGATTAAACACACAAAAAATTATCGGGAATGGGTACACCTAACTTAACAGAGTTGAGAAATCACGCTGCGATCTTGAGTCGGCAGTTAAATAGCGATTACGTCTCTCATGCGCACGCTTTCCGCAAAGAATATGCATCGTATTTGCTTTATATTAATAAAAGTTGCGAATGTAACAGTAAACACATATAAAATCAGACCTATCCAACTTCCAGACTCGGCACCGAATGATCCCGAATTCACCTGTAGATCGGACCACACTATCCGTTTTCAAGGTGTGTGTCAGTACGCATTTCACAGTATCAAACCTCGCGTTCGAAGCGCGTGCTGACGCACAGCTTTAAAACGGGTGGTGTGGTCCGATATACCTGTGAATTCAGGATCATTCGGTGCCGAGTCTGGTAGTTAGGTAGTCCTGAAAATTATCAGGGAAGAGTACACTTTACTTCACAGAGTTGAAAAAGCACACTGCGATACTAAATCGGAGATTAAACAACGATGACATGGAATCGTTTTTCGCGAATTACACACTAAAAATGGGTACTGGACAAAGCTAATTTAATTAGTCTCATTTATATTCATGTGACCGGGCCATAACGTCATCATTGGGAATCTCCACACTTTATGCTAAGCCCCTGGTTGGTGAAACGAAACCACACTTGCACGCTATATATAGCTGTGGTTTTGCTGTCGTGCGAGTCAGCAGGAAACGAAACAGGATAATTGTCAAAACATCTGTAAAAACACGCTGAGATGACATGATTTATATATTCATTGTTGTTTTATGAAAATCAGGGTGTATTTCGGGTATTTAAATCCCGAAATTGAACGTCATGAATAGATCACGTGTAAGGGAGATAATACTTTGTACTGAAGTTGAAATCGAAGAAAGGATGGTAATGCACAACAACCCGTTTTCTTCACCAATCATAACTTGCAACGAAGAGCAATTTTGTTTTTACTCTAGTGTGTGTGCCGTAAATGATCCCTGAGATGTCCAAGAAATATAACCATACTATTCTGAGAGCCTTCTTTTCCAGCTGCAAAGGGGAATGGTATGTCTGCATCCCAGATTTAGTGTCATTTTCTGCTTAGAAATAAAACGTTTAAAATACACAGCGATGGAAACACAAAATTGTTTGTTATATTAAGATATATTAAGATTATATCTATCCCCTTCCAGATAAAAGCACCCCCGTAGTAATCCAACACATAAGAATATTTTAACAGGTTTTCAAAGATGATAAACCACAACTGTTCCCCAATATCGTGGATGTGTATATATATAAACATATTATATAAAACTCAGAAAACCAAACGAAACCCTTTGACTGATTTCTTTCTCCATTTGATTTATAAATTTGTTTTTTAATTGTGGACATTATTCTATTACGTCGCTGATATAAATGGGTCACGGCAAAAATAGCAACAGAGGAAACTGGCAAAAAAACGTTTCTTTCAGACGGGACGAGTTTACTTAATGACGTCATCTCACGAACAGAGCGTACGCACTTACCAAAGTTTATTTGATAATTTTGTTTTAAAATCTATCTTTGGACTCAAATTTATAATCAAAAGCAAGAGGGGCCTTTAGAAAGCATCTTTATCTAATTCAAGTTTAAACTGCTTTTGTTGGAGTATACTTCTCACGGTGGATTAGTTTTAAAACGACATTATTATAGAAGGGATGCATTATTAAAACAAGGTACGCGCACTGTTGTTGATATATACCTGAATCTGTATCAATCAATCTTGTTCACCGATACAAGGTTAACGTTGATGTTAACATTAATTTTTTACTAAGTGAAAGAGTAAAAAGCAGCTGTGATACACGTTTGCACGGAGTAGTCTTAATAAAAATGACTTTACTCTTTAAAAACGTTTCTCTTTTAACGTTTATTCTTCGTGTACCCTTCGTGCTTCGTGTGACCCGTGTGCAGGGTCTACAATCATGCACATGTCCGCACGCAGAAACGGTTGTGTACGCCCCTCTCACTGTTAGCTCTTAAGTTATTTTGTCGTTTTTTTATGTGGGCGTGCGTGCCGAGGTACACTTGAAAGTGAAAGTGCCTCGTGCCTCTCTCTCTCTCTCTCTCTCTCTCTCTCTCTTACATGCACGCAGATATTTTGTCGATTTTTTTTTGTGCGTGGGCGTGCTCTCCTGGATGCACTTAAAAGTGAAAGTGTCTCTCTCTCCCTCTCCTTCTCTCCCTCCTCTCTCTCTCTCCTACATGTAAGCAGTTATTTTGTTGATTTTTTTGTGTGTGGGCGTGCTTGAAGAGATGCACTTAAAAAGTGAAAGTGTCTCTCTCTCTCTCTCTCTCTCCTACGTGTAATACTGCTGCTGTTACCACGTTTGTGAGTATATGTATGCGCGCGCGTGTGCGTGCGCGCGTGTGTGTGTGAGAGGTGTGAGGTGTGTGTGTGTGTGTGTGTGTGTGTGTTTTTTAGAGAGAGACTATGTGCGTTCGTGTTGAAGTAAATGTACTCTACCAGAAAGTTCAAATCATTGCCCAAACCGTATTTACCTACCTCTGTTATTACTCTGTGATCACTGTACGTGCCCTGTCTGTATCCTGCAATATACAATACCAACGTTCACTCCTGCCAATTCCTTCTTTCATATCACAGGCTCCAGTGGTTAAATGTACAAAGCTTATAGCGCACGTTCTATAAATAGCCTACCTCAACATTGGGCATGTAATTGGAGGACGTAAATTTTCTGCCTACGCCTTTTCCCTTACAAGGTATTTTTTTGTGACGCCTTTTCCCTTACAAGGTAGTTTGATAAAGATATTCCTATCATTGCTTTCTTTTCGTTTCAGCCTAGTTCTGTTTGTCGAACTGATCCATCTTTTCAGAGAAGAGAACAATCAAATCCTAAATTAAACATAAATAAAAAATCCTGCGGGTCCTTTATGTTCTCTTGTGACCTAGCTGCATTTTCATTTCTGGGTTAGCTTAATTGGGTTTCCTGCTGGCTCTACCAGAACTGGCGTTCTTTAATTTTATACTTGCTCTAAATGTCTTATAAATGCTTGTATTTTCGTAATTTGGAGTTAATATTCCAACACTAACATTTTTTACTGTTTCATTAATGTATACAGACTCAATGAGTCACTTTTGGGCCATCAGGATTATTGATATTTCTGTTGGTGATCAATACAAGGTCGATCTTATCAGGAATAATTTGCAAAGAGAAAGAAAAATACTGCATTGTATTTGTGTCACTTTGCACTTACTGACCTACTTATGAGAGAGAGAGAGAGAGAGAGAGAGAGAGAGAGAGAGAGAGAGAGAGAGAAAGCTTTCAGACAGGAAGTCGCGTTTAAACTCTGACGAGAAATAGTTCTCGAATTCATCTCTTGTGCTATTTATACTCTGTAGGCTTATGTGCTCCACATTTTTAAAGACCTATGTACTGATCCTACTACCATGCCTATTATGGTAGTTTTATTAAGTAGCCTTTGGGAAATACCTCCCCTCGATTTAGTTTTCTAGGTAGCGACGCAGATATTTGCCACTCTGCCGAGAAACTTCGGAGAAAAGCACAATCGAGTGCGCATTATAAGCATGTGAAAAATAACTTTACGATCTTCAGATTAACAAGAATTGGTATCCAACAGAGGCAGATTGTTCAATAAATGAGAAATTTCCGCGTGACCGATCCCTTATTCACCCATTAGACCGTAGTTAAATCAACAAATGTCAAGGCCGGTATGCACAGCGGTGCCTAGTTTTCTTTTGTAATTTGATACCTGGTAAAGTCACGTTATGTGCTTCCGGAACGCTATAGATGCCAATTTCCTCCTTTTCTAAGAAGGGGCCTATTAAGAGTTTGAAAATCACGTCTGTTTCATTTTGTTCATTAAACTGCCTATTTCCGTTATATATTTGTGTGTGTGTGTGGTGGGGGGGGGGGAGATAAAAGAAAGAGTATTTCAGGAACTACGACAGGGGCACATGTCTGCTTTGAATATCCCATTGAAATAGACTACTGTTCACTCAAAGTTGAATGAAATTGATGTTTTGATCTCTTAATTGAGAAAAAGGGACTTCGAAAATGTAAAAGAGGAAATGGTTTAAGTGTTGAAAAAGTTCTGAAGTTAAGCGTGTACAGTTTATGTGCTAAGTTTATAGGCGGTGTAATGTGAATTAAAAAAGAGAGAAATACACGTATCTTTACTTATTATTAAAGACACATTTCTAATTGTTCGTGGATACAACCATTCTATAACGACGAGTGTCTTGCCTCTTTATGGCAATTTGTACAGGGTATAAATTGGGTAACTGCTTTTAGGGTTGTAGAGCCGCATTTTGCAACTGCAACACAACGCATTTTGCAAACAGATATGGTTTGAAGTACGAAACATGTAGAATTGAAGCGGGGGCTTGTAATGCTATGTATATAAGAGCAAGAATTTAGATGTGTTATTAACAAACAGAGCAGTAGTGGTATTAATAGGAAAATCCGATTATTTAATAACACTTCGTGTTCTTACCTGCATTCTCTTACATGCATTCTCATGTGAAACGTGAACTGAAAATTATATACACCATCACCATAAATATTTATGCCACGCAGATTTTATATTACATACCCCCATCATTTTGCCGTTTGCTTTTATCATGCAAGCATTATAGACGGTTTAAACAAAGTCTCCACAGAAAATGCAAAAAATGTTCAGAAGGTAACGGCAGAGCGTCCCAGGCTTGGTAGCGTCCCCATACGCTTTCGAAAATTGGTTATATAGATGCACAGAAAAGGACTCTTCGTTTACTCTGCCTTTATCAAGGAAACATTCTCGTGTAACATTAGGCCACTCAATAGGATAAAACGATTGCCGATACATACGTCTGACTATGCATGGCTTGCCTTTCGATACATCCTCAAAACTGTTGACGTCACACACCCACGTGCTATGTTTTCTCGCCACGCGGGTGAGAAGATGCGGTCCATTTGCCGCCCAATCGTTCTGCTTATAGTTAAGGAGGTATTCTTTAATACACTCACGGAGAAATGGATTGTGCTTATCAAATTTTACAACAGCGCCATTTAACACGGAATTTTTTCTGTCTTCCCATGCAGTAACATTATTCAAAACTTTTAAACTCTTTACTAAAATGATGTCAGTGTCCATGTAAACGCCACCGTACAGATAGAGCAGTAGCAACCTTATCAAATCAGTTTCGTGGCTATACCAGTATGGTCCTTTTGAAATAACAGGCATTCTTTTCAAAAACGCTTTCGAGCGACCTGCNCCCATCATTTTGCCGTTTGCTTTTATCATGCAAGCATTATAGACGGTTTAAACAAAGTCTCCACAGAAAATGCAAAAAATGTTCAGAAGGTAACGGCAGAGCGTCCCAGGCTTGGTAGCGTCCCCATACGCTTTCGAAAATTGGTTATATAGATGCACAGAAAAGGACTCTTCGTTTACTCTGCCTTTATCAAGGAAACATTCTCGTGTAACATTAGGCCACTCAATAGGATAAAACGATTGCCGATACATACGTCTGACTATGCATGGCTTGCCTTTCGATACATCCTCAAAACTGTTGACGTCACACACCCACGTGCTATGTTTTCTCGCCACGCGGGTGAGAAGATGCGGTCCATTTGCCGCCCAATCGTTCTGCTTATAGTTAAGGAGGTATTCTTTAATACACTCACGGAGAAATGGATTGTGCTTATCAAATTTTACAACAGCTCCATTTAACACGGAATTTTTTCTGTCTTCCCATGCAGTAACATTATTCAAAACTTTTAAACTCTTTACTAAAATGATGTCAGTGTCCATGTAAACGCCACCGTACAGATATAGCAGTAGCAACCTTATCAAATCAGTTTCGTGGCTATACCAGTATGGTCCTTTTGAAATAACAGGCATTCTTTTCAAAAACGCTTTCGAGCGACCTGCAAAGGTGTCTGGTTCCAGATTTTCAATGCGCCTTAGTAAGTTTTCAAGAGTATAGTTTTCGACCTCTACTTGAAATCCTGCTTCATTGAACTCAGAAAACGCCTTTTGTGTCAAAACATTGCTTAGAATGCGCACTTTCGCATTTGGATGGTGGTAAAATATACTCTCGAGTGAACGGCGGTTCCGCTTTGTCTGATTCTTCGTTGTGTACACTTGAAAGAACGCCGATTCAGTTGTTTCATTTTTGTTTAACTGCCTGAATGTTTTAAAGGGTGCGATCCCAAATGTTATCGCCGTTTCTCGTAAAGCGCGAGATTTGCGTATCTCATACCACAAAGTGGCGCGAAAGCGCATGTAGATTTCACGATTTGGGTTCATTTCCGGTTCGTCCCAATTAAAGTTGTCCAGGCCTCTGTAGGTTTTCATCCTTAGGTCGACAGTAACTGTGTGAAAAAGTTCTGTTAAGCCCTCAGTTCGACGCCCTCCACCTCCAGGTAGGACGTCAGTTTCTACAAAAACAACTGGAATTCCCATGGCAACGCAAGGAAGCGCGCAATGGATACGAGAGGTTATAACTAATTTTGCGCGTGAATATCTTTCCATCAAACTTTTTGCAGCTTCGTACCGTGTAAATCTATCAAATTTCTTCCAACTTGGCAAGTTATGGGTGACGTTTATCGCTGATTTTCGTATTTGATATGGAACAATTAATTCTAAAGCGCTTTTGTTCACATCAACGACAAATATATCCTCTGTTTTAATGGTGGGATTGGGATTGCGCATTAAAAGTGTCAAACAGCCCGATTTATATACTGAAAAATTTTGGGATTTTAAGAAATTAAAAGTGCCTTCATCACGAGCACCCACAGGGCCATGATTTCGAAGGTAATTTCTGCCCGGCTCAGTAAGTAATGTCTTCCAGAAACTTGATCCAAAATACATCGATAAAATCAAAGGGTTTAGATTAACTTTTGGTGGCCACATCATGTTGCATGCGTTATACCATCCATTAAGAAATATTGTGATTCCTTTTTTGAGATTATTGGTTTCGTTGGAAACAATTGACCCTCTTCTAAACTGATCTTTTGTATCGCTTGTTTTAGGTATGCCATTACCTGCTGTATTTTGGGTCATGTACAAAGACCAATTTGTTGCCTTTCCATGCCTTTCTCTTTTAGTGTTTTCTTCCCAAAAATTGTCAGTAGTCTGCTTCTGTGCAAGCGGTTTTACTACACTTGTGACGTTCCAGGTATCCCTGTCCACAAAAAGGGCCACAAAGGGAAGAAACTGTAGCCCTGCTAGCGTTTGAATCTCGTCGCCAACGTTGATGTCTCTCGCCACCTTCACTCTATGGTCAAAACTTAGGATCCCAAAGAGTTCATCTTGCAAAAAAGGTTTTACAGAATCTGTACCGACCTTTTCAATCTGTCTCTTATCTACCTGGCTTAGAACTTTTGACTTGAGTAAGACTGAAGCAGTGTCCCAATTTTGGATTTGACTTCTACTGCGACTGCTGTAGGCCGACTGAATATCGACCATGGCATTTTGAACGAACAACGAATGTCGTTCAAACCTGGATACGAAAAAGATACCTTCAGTGGACATCCATTGCCCCGTGAAATATTCAGCTGGTAAATATGACGGCACTATTCTTCTTATATCTATGTAAAGTCCACCAAATCTCCACAGTGCAAGTAAAACACTTATTTCATGTACGACTGCCATAAATTTACGACCCATGAGCAATTTCAGAATGGCGGATTTAGAGACAAAATCGTCTAGTGGTGTGCCCTGGGCTAACTCAGAAAACAGTAAACGAAGTACTGTTACGTGTTTCCACGACTTGGCGTCTATTTGATCTATACATCCACTGCTTCCACATAAAAATACAACGCGTTTCCCTGGATTTAACTGGAGGAAGGTCCCTATTTTATCCATAATCATTTGTGGAATTGCGGCATAATGCGACCAGACCATGACAAAATCTGAGGTCGCATTTTGATGTAGGCCCAAGTCTTGTGGTACTGCAGTAATCGAATCCTCTTTGAAGGATGTCGTTGGAAGAGATTTAGAGCTGCCAGTATGGGCTGGTCTCACAGTCGACATTGCTTTTGTAAACTGGGAAAGAGGACCCTTTTTATTCTCCCGGTAGATGATTTCTGCAGACGTAACGGGCCTGTTCATAGCCACCAAATTGCCACTTGTGTTAACTTTCGCCACTGCTGACGATAGGGCTTAGTTGGAATTAAAAGGTATAATGATAATATACTAGTAACACGAAAATACATAAAATTGAACCTTTCAATACATGAACAATATCGAAAATGTTCTTTTTATATATAAAAAGTATTTTCAAATATGCCAAATAGTACATACTGACAATGGAATGTTGCAGGCGATCCTACCAGATTAAATTCTGACTAAGAGCTAAAAAAACAAGTTTTACATGTTACAACTATCTCAATGGTCTTGGCTCCACTGAATGTATCTAATAGGCTATTAATAATTATAATCTGTATGTTCTTTCGTCTTCTATGCCTTTAATGGCGAATAAAGCTTACATGTGCTTTCAAAACCGTTCATGAATTTGAAGATGTAAATCAACGCCCCAGTCATTAACAGCATTAAAGCTAGAAGGGCTTTCCGCTTGCAACGAAAACATCTGCGAAGTCCCACCACCGTAGATTTCATCTGACGGTATGCCATGAAGACAAACGAAGTGAAAAATCCGAGAGAAAAGATCCTCACAATAAATGACGTGTCTTGAGCACGGAGCTACTAGTATGATGTGATTTATTAATAATGACCGTTATTAATAAGAAAAACTGTAACATGGAGACGTAGCAGAAGACTGCCCTTTACTTGTGGTATAATGCATGCATTAATTATGTTTGGAAAACAGCAAAGAGAACGAAACAAATTAATAATATAAAACATTGTTGAACATAAAATCAAACTGAAATATATGTCAGAGGAGGATCTCGGATTATTTGAAATGGGGGTGGGGGGGGGGGATCCAGATTGGCAAGCCTTGGATGCGAAGCCGACCATCTCCCCCTTGGCGTGTGGTTGGGGTCTGCTCAAGGGCCCCGGGGATTTTGGTGTTTTGGAGGAAAAACGGTGCCCTTTGGTACGGTTAAGAACTATGATTCAGCTAGTAAAAATTCTCTCATTTCAAGAGGGGAATATTGGTGCGATATATTTTCCAGAAACCAAAGGGGGGGGTTAGGACCTCCCCCTCACCCCCCTTCTAAATCCGCCACTGCATGTATAACTGGTACAAGTGAAAACCTAGACGTTAACTTAACAGTCTCCAATATTATTCCTATCGCTTCTCATGACCTGTGGAGAGAAAAACCGTCATTATTAATAAATCACATCAAATTTCAAAACATGTACAAGAGCCGCTGAGTGAGCGGAGACCATAGTAACCATTAAGTTGTCTCAGCTTTCGGTCTTACGTATGCAAAGCAGGTGTTGGGATCAAAGATTAAAGAAGACAAGAACATAATAAATAAAATAATTAATAAAATTAATGTAAAGAAAAAAACAAAACAAAACAAATTGAGAAACCGCTGCTGGTGAAACCGCTGTCGCCAAAGGAAGGGGGGCCTGTATCTCGAAAGCATCGCGTATTGCGAATAGCATAGATCACATAGAGGCTAGAGAGAGAGAGAGAGAGAGAAAGAGAGAGTGAGAGAGAGAGAGAGAAAGAAACTCGCAGTGCTTGTGCCCCATGTTCTTTATGTCTCCGCCATCCCAGGGTACCACAAACTTTCATACTCCCATTCACAACAAGAAAGAAGGCAACAAAGAATATCAAATGTACGAAATTTGGCCAAACAAGGCTGCTTTTATTATAAAACCCCAGCATTCTATTGTTCGGTTTTTTAAAAGCGCCTTAGAGAGTTTTTTAAACAAACGAGCTGGTACTTTTTATCAAAGTTTTAGGTCAGTTTACACGTATATGATAAACTGATACGCAATTATTTTTGAGTGTATAATTTATATAAAGTACGAATTAAATATTTCTTCCTGTGAAACAAGGCTAAAAGAACAATTGCAGGACCAGTAACTTAACACATTATTCATTGCCATTATAGCCACATCAATATTATGAATTATCAGAGATGTGAGACCAGCCACGTTGGTTTTTAATGTCCACTACCATACCCGTACATTGCACGTGCTACCACCAATACATCCGCTAGTATCAAACACGACGGAAAAGCCCCAATCTATTTTTAGAATCAGCCTTCGTCATTGAAGGTATTTGACCAAGAAGGCCTTATACTGGGCACATAGGCTACATATGTATTTGCAACTATCATCATGTCGGATGATCTGCCTTAGAAGAACCAGTTACCAAGTACTGGACGGTAGATAAGATGGGACAAGTCACATGCTAATGGGTGATCATTTAAAGGGCAATAACAAAGGGGCAATAAGTGAGTAGGAGACCTATATTTATAGCGGTCAAACTCTGATTAATGAACCTACATACATGTATAGGTCTATGATGTGATACAATGTACGTACATTAATATGGTTTTAGCATCTTCAAAATACTGAGTCACCGTCACTAGTTTTATGCAGCTGGTTAAAAGCATATATTCATGCTACTGGTAGTCTAACAACACTAAATACGTTTTCTTGGTTTATTTTCAGTCTGTTAGAGACGAATATATGTAGGCCCCTAAGTAAACAGGATAGCTATATGTGCTGCACGTCGTCTGTTAACGGTATATCCTATATCCTACCCACGAATCATTTCCCGGTGTAACGAAACTAAGGCTCCGTGAAACAGAAAGTCATTTTCGTTATTCGTGAAGGTAAAACTTTGGGACATTTCAGTGAGTACACACTTTCACATATTCCATGAATCCCACGGCAGTAAAATCTAGCCAAACTTTCCTGTCTCGTTCTGGATTTGTATCATGCATTCACATGTATCTCATTTTTTCAGTGAATAGCTAGTACTACAAGTTACCCTAGCTCTGTTACCATGGCAACTGGCGGGAGTTCTCCCAGCGATGGCGGCAGCTCCCTCTCCCTGTTCCCTGAGAGGCTAGAGTTTGTCAATATGGACGCCCGTTACAAGTGTGTGAAGTGCAATAACGTGCTACGAAGACCTCTTCAGACCTCGTGTGGTCACAGGATGTGCGATATATGTGTGGACGAACTGTTTGCTGAACACGGAGACACTGCAGACTGCCCGGGACGGGAAGAAGATTGTGATCAGTTAAGGAAAAATGACCCCAAATCAGTAAGCTTGACATCTCGGTCCATTGAGTTATGATCCAAGCTTTATATTATATTATATTATATTATATTATATTATATTATATTATATTATATTATATTATATTATATAGTTTCTTTGCTGACCGATTACACTTTAGATTGACTGAAACGGGACATGAAATCCACGTCATGTGATACATCCTAGTATATTTCCTGTCTGTGTGTGTGTGTTTTTTTTTTTTTCAAGTCGCTGCACATTCTCAGCAGCTGGCTACTGTCAACATTTATTTAGGCTGTTCCCTCTTTCGGTCTGTTCTGGTATAGATTTTCTTTTTTCAAATATGATTAGACCCTTCATTTGTTTGTATATAAATGAAGTTTGTGGTCAGTATATCTGTTCTTTTGTGCATTGCTTCACTTACAAAGTCATTTGCTTCCGTCATTATACATATATCTTTTTACTGAATATATTTTTTATTCTAAACCTTATAAACTGTTTATACCCATATTTTTGCATTTATTTATTTATTTATTTATTTATTCGTTTTTGCATATTTTGTAATCAGAATTTTTGATTTATCATTTAGATATTTAAAGATGCCTGCGTGCGAAGGGAGATGGGCCAGTTAAAGGTTTTCTGTCCTAATAAAAATACAGGATGTGCCGGCGTTTATAAGTGGAAAGATATTAAAGTAAGTAGACTGTTGTTTGGTTGGGATAAATGTCTCTTATTATTTTGTCTACAGTTTAGAACTACTACAAGGACATTATTACGTGTTATGGAGGCCATAGCTGTTTTGTGTGACATTAGTCCAATATATAAGTGCTCATTTTTGCTGAAAGAGAAGTTATATGTAAATTGAAAAGGCTTATGGGGGTGTGGCTTCCTCCTTGATCCACACACACACACACCCTTTCCATATGAATGGTAATATTCTGGCTTTACAGGCACAACACTATACCTCTCTTATCAAATATTTCACCTTGATTATGTCTTTTCACCCTTTTAAACGTCTTTAGAAACATGTCGAAAGCTGTGAATACAGACCACTACTTTGTCCCCTGGGGTGCGGTCACGTGATTGCACAGAAAGAACTAGAGCATCACGAGAAGGAACAATGTCCCAAACGGCCAGTCACGTGCCCTAGCTGTGGAACAAATGTGTTATCAGGCGATTTACAGGTGGGATGCTGGCACTAAGATTGTGTTACGGTCGATACTGGTAAATGAGAAACATTTTATAAGATTTTACATGCTGTAGAATGCCTCTGGTTGTAAAGCAATAGAGAAATCTAAAAGATATTTTATACAAATGTTGACCATAGTTGTGCGAAACAATACGTCTCGATCAGCATTGCAACTGCCAAATTAGTTAACAAAGTTCCTATTTCATATTAAATATACATGTAGGAACATTTAGAGGAACTTTGCCTGGAAGCTTTACATAGTTGCCCTCACTGTGGATCCGGAAACATGAAAAGACTTCAGGTATGTTCGTTCTGAATCATGTACTGTATATGTGCATATGATTGTATATTTGTACAGACTTGACATTTAATATGGAATATTTCAGTTTCGAAGGTATGCCTAGGTAAAAATTCGTTCTTTTTTCAAAAATCTCCGATCTCATATAAGATTTGTGAATGGAGAAGTGTGTAGTCAGGTGTGTCGCTACCAATTAACTGACTTCCAATTAACTTGACTTCCGTCTGTTGCGCTGCTACATTATGTAATATGCGGTGATTTAATTGGGTAGTGTTCCTTTGGGCTGGTCAATGCTTGGCTTAGGTAAATCTTGGTTCTGTCAAAAAAGTATCTGTATGTCGGCAACTATTCCATAGAAGAATTTGAAATTTTGCATGCAAGCGGTCAGTTTTGCAGTGCGTAAAATGAGCTAAGGAGTGCTTTACAAATTTGTAAATTTGTGGCAGAATGGCGCGAAAAAGACAGACATTATCAGACAGATTACAGCGCCCAACGGAACGGTCCGCTCAGTTTTATAGAGTAATTCCCAGACTGATGTAACTACACAGAGGTCACACCAAATGCATCGAAATCTTATCTCCAGGGTACAGGACGCACTGTCTTTCGGGATACGCTGCTGCAACTAAACAAAAGCCACCCAGCCTGTTCAGAACGACGGGGTAAATTGCCACCAAAATGCGTTTTTCAAGGCCCTTAACGAACAACAAACTGTTTTTAGCAGGTTAGAATACCAGACGACCTGCGAGGTACCCACTGTAAACAGCAAAACATCGTCGTCTGTTTCTTTAATGAATTGGGGGCCATGACCGTTTCTGGGTAGACCACTGAAACCGCGTAGTTTTCTTTATTGAGGTCAGATTTCACCTGTTCACCTGTACCTCCCAGCTAGTCAAAACAGAGTTTACAGACATCCAGAAGATGCCTACGACGAAGCATGTACCGCGTGTAAAGTGACAAGGGTCATTGACAGCGTCAGTATTTGGAGTGGATACCACCAGATCAAATAAAGGAATAATCTGGGAACCACTTGACTATCATTTGATAGGGGGCACCTTAGGAACAATTTTAGGTTGCGCGGTCAGATTGCCGGTTCACACAGAGCACTTTTAATAGCAGATAACTTACAGAACCAAGGGAATGAGCAGCTACCCTGGTCATCAAAATCGCCACATTTGAACCGCATAGACAATGTGTGGGTAAGCCACTACTCGCCGAATCAACTGCTTACGTGCCCTACATCAAAACTGGATCAAATTGGACAATTTTGGACCGATGCCTGGAATAATATTCCAGATTAAACTCTAAAAACTTTTCCCAAGGAATGCCTTGCCGCTTGAGAGCGCTGGTAACAGACAGAAGAGGCCAGGCGTAACAGCGACCGTTACTATGACTAGGCACTGACATGAGGGTCCATTGTGTAGCGTATAACTCTTTTACAGAGGATAATTTGAAAAATATAGAGATCCAAAATATCTCTTTTAATGGATGTCGTATGACATAGAATAGGCAATGCATTTCTGTTTGCCTCACTGTCGAATTCAACCAATGAGCTGATGTCAGCATAACATCAAAGAGATAATTTAAAGTTATTAAAACACGATTTTAATCCTTATTTTCATTTATCAGTCAGCAAAAAAGGAAAGAACTGATGAAAAATGACTTGGAAAAAAATATTCCATATTAAATGTCAAGTCTGTATATTGTATAGTACAGCTATTTCTGTATATTTTTACCGGAGGTAATTCAATACCAACTAGCAAAGCGTTCGGAGAGCGCAGATCTTATTATCTCCTTGGCGGAAGTGATACGCCGTAAAAAGTGTAAACTTGCTGTATTAGTATGGGTTACGTTTGAGTTAGTAATATCAGGTGCGCATTGTCATCATGCTGTATTGATGCTGTACATGTATATACTTATTATTAACACGACTGAAATTTATTTTCGTAGTAGGTCCTTATATTTCTATTAGCTTTGTTCATAGATGAAATACATTTTTTCCAAAAAGACTTGTCAGTTGTTTGAGTAATAAACATTTTGTAGGCCATATCTTTATTTAAGTATTATCCAGGCCAATGTTAGGTCAACTAGGCTTCATTCTAAGATTGAAGTTTAATTCAGGATATGATACTCGAATGTTTCAGTTGGAAGAGCACTACAAAACGTGCAGTAAGATGCCAAGGAGATGCCCCTTGTACCGACAAGGGTGTGAATTCACGGTAATGCAGTCTTGACACAATTACTGTTTTTAATGGCGTGCTTCATTTCTTTTTTACATTCCTTTACTTTTCTCTTTCTTGAAACCAATTATTATAAACATTCATTGCAAGCTTGTTGAATCAAAACTAGGTAGCGAGCCATCCTAAAACGGCTCCTCTGTTTATTTGAGGAGTTCTATAGTTGCTGAAATGCAAAATGTAACTGAAACTGTATGCAATATCATCTGTATTTGCCTTTTTCAGGGAACCAAAGTTAGAATCAGAAAGCATGAACATGCTGCAATCAAAGAGCATATCACAATCGTTTCGAGGGCGCTTAGCACACATGATTTCAGTGTTGAACATTTCGATAAGGAGTGTCAGAAAGTGAATATAGAAATACAGAAGACAGCCGAAAGACTGAATAAACTTTCATCGGATAATACTGTCGGAAACTTGGAAGACAAAATAAAGAAATCTGAGGTGAGATAAGATTATTTTAAAAGCTTTATTTGGGATGCTTTTGGTTATAGATAATGTGCATTTTCTCAATAAGATTAGGTGGGGTACTTTTTCAATTAGCGTTTGTGATTGAAACATTTTTGCGACATAATGTTGAAATAAATTTTTTAAAGTAAAGCAATTATAGGAATATGTTCTTGGTAATTTCGGGCGGTATTGAAAACGTATTGCGAGTATCTACATGTGGTCTATCAATACGAGGTCTATCAATATATTTAAACACGGTCTATCAATATGTTTAAACACGTTTTTATGAAAACTTTTTCTCTACTTCGGATAAGCCAATTGAACGGATCCCTTCATTTCTTGCATTTTGTACAATATTTAGACATAAATAATTGCACTTATATAATTGCATCATTTAAAATCAATATTACGTTTTAGAAATTTTTGGCTGGACAGAGCGCAAGAGTGATGAAACTGGAAGAAACACTTCAGGCGGCTGCCGTAGAAGGCGATGTTGTACGACAGACTATAGAGATTGCCGATATTATGGAGAAGCAGGGAAATCACGAAAGAAGGATTCAAAGATTGGAAAATTCTAATGGTATGTATCATAGAACGTCAAAAGTGCAATTTTGAAATGCATTACATCTCCCATTACAAGCACGACACATTGGCACAATTCCTTTTAAATTCAGTTGTTTTTGGTCTAGAAACTACAGTGCATATTTGACAGCATTTTTACGAAACCAATGAGATATTAATAGAGTAATTATAAATTAAGGAATCTGTTACTTGCACTTCCCTTAACATTGCAGGACAAATGCAAAAACTCCTTGCTTCCCACGACCTGCAATTAAGACAGCATGAGGACAGAATGTCAGATATAGCTCTTCGTTTCTGCACTCATGAGTCAACGTCATACGATGGAACCCTTATTTGGATAATCAAAGACTACATCCGCCTGAAACGAGATGCTTGTACTTCAAAGACTTTATCTTTGTACAGCCAGCCATTTTATAGTAGCAGCCGCGGCTATAAAATGTGCGCCAGAGTGTTCTTAAATGGGGACGGCGTCGGTAAAGGAACTCATCTTTCCTTATTTTTTGTCATATTGAGAGGCGACTATGACGTTTTACTGCATTGGCCATTTCAGCAAAAAGTTACTCTTGCCTTATTAGCGCAAGATGGGAGTGGGCGCCATCTATCGGAATCATTTTGCCCGGAAACAGGCAACAGTAGCTTCAAGTTTCCCACTTCTGATATGAATGTAGCCAGCGGATGCCCCAAGTTTGCCCCACAAAGTTCAGTAGAGTCAGAGACATATCTAAAAGATGACACTATTTTTATCAAGGTCGTTGTTGACACCTATGGATTGCAAGAACCATAGGAAATCTGAAAAAGTTTGTAAAATAAAAATGTAAACTAACCGTTATAAATGGAAGATACAGTCTTGTGGTTGCATGGTGTACGATAAATAATGCTGTTTGTGACAAACCACGCGTCCAGTATCAAATTTTAAATTGGCCAGACACGGGAATACAGGTGTGTGTCATCAATAACATTTTTGTTGTAGGTTTCAGATATTTTGAAGGTATTTTGCGATAATACTAATATTTCTAAAGAAATATCACATGTACCTGTAGGTACGTTATTCACATAAAACGCAGTAACAATTTCTAATTTATGTAATATGTATACTACACTGTACATACTATTCTATGATATACAGGGGTATATACTTAACTTTCAACATAATACTGTGCCTACTAGCTCTAAATACCTATTTTGAAGAAACATCCTTATTTGCATTTTTAACGATTTTGATTTATATTAAATATTTAACCTACAAAGAGCCTGTTTATTTGTAAACAAAATGTTATATCCTTCGTAGTTTTAACTTTGGGCGAATAAAACATTTTATTTGTCAAAGTGCACGATTACAGACCACATGGGCGGGTTTAGGGGGTGTCGGGGGGGGGGGGGGTCCTGACCTCCCCCTCGATTTCTGAAAAAAAATCACACCAATGGTCCCCTTATGAAAACAGAAATTTGACTAGCTGAAGCATAGTTTCAAACCGTACCAAATGCAAAGTTCGCCCTCTAAAATACCAAAAAAATTCTCGACCGTTCAGCAGGCCCTGAACCTCACGCCAAAGGGTGGGTGGGTGGGTGGGGTGGGGGGCTTCGCATCCGTGGACCCCCCCTCCCCCTTCAAATAATCCTGGATCCGCCCCTGGGCCATGTTGTTGCATGACTGAATTGATATTGTCAGTTTTTATCTTTTGAACTACTGCCGGTTCCAGGATTTTTTGCTAGGGGGACAAGGTTGAAAAAATAAAACATCTAGACGAAGGCAATATTGTACTCCTAGCAAACACAGGACGTTATTACAATGGCGCGTAATGGGCCATCATGGTATGGCTATAAAACGTTCTTTGTTTGCTGGGCTGTCTATATTTTATAGGGGAAAGGGATGAAAGTGGAAAAAGTTTTTTATTTTGTCTCGCGCATGTGGTGTTGGTCTTTTGTGACAAAGAAAGGGAGACGTCCCGGGGTACCTTCAGGGCTCGATAAGGGGAGGGGGCCCTCCCCTCCCCAAACCGCATTAGTAGGCCTAAAAAATTTGGTCAATTTCAGAATATCATGACTTCAACAGCTGTATTTTTTATATCTTTTTATAAAAAAAATTAAGTATTTCATGTCTAAATATTCTAAACAGCGCATGCCTACTTCATTCAGAAAATGCACTGGTACCGGGGGTATATTACATGTATAGACCTACCACACCTTAAACTTCAGCCAAACGTGTTTTATGTTTGAGAGAATGCCGGTTACGTTACAATTAGAACGTACGAAAACTAGCTGTACACTGTAGTTTGTATGGCGAGATACTGTCATAGTACATTCCATTTTATAAGACTTAATTTTATGATCTCAATCAGATCTTACGGGGGATTGGCAACTGTACGCAACGGCCCTGGTAATGCAATGAGGAAGTCATGTGATCTGCGAGCTAATAAAAACTAGGTCACGTCACGACCTCCTAAGTCAATAGTATTAATGCAACGCAACGGAAATGTGTTAGAAAATAGGACTTTTGTTGTCGTATCAGCTTACTGGGGTTTTTATTGTGGCATATAGAATTCGACCTGTTTACGTTAAGCAGCTGAGCTTGTATATGTAAAGGACACAAAGCTACACACATTTTTGTACATGCAATGATGGTTTAAATTCAAACCAGGTAAAGATCGCGCAACAAGATCCCAAGGAATTATATTTTCATCCAGGCATATTCACGTCAAAATCCACGATCTCCTCGACTAAGACGGAATTCTTAAAACAACACATTTGTATGTGATCCTTGTGACCATGCCGTTTTCAGCAAACCAGAAAGATATCCACAGGAAACTGTTAGTTGAGCTGTCCGAAGATATTGATGACGAGCAATATCTTGATAATCTCAAAAAAATGCTGAGTGGAGATATTGGCCAAGGACGTCTAGCAAAAGCTAAAGACTCGTTGAATTTAATGAATACAATGGAGAACGTCGGTATTTTGGCGGTTGGAAAGTATGACCGTTTGAAAGATATGTTCCAACATGCTGGTCTTAATGGCCTGGTAACGACAATAAAAGACGCCGAGGCGCGTATTAGAGCTGAGAGTAAGTACATGTACAACCCCACGCCGTCTGTGTCATTGATTCAGTTGATGCATTTACTGTGCGTAGCAAATCTAGTGTGTTTATCGCTATTAGTATATGTATTTTAGGTACATATAGATCTGTGCACTAGTACCTTGTCCTCTCACCTTCATATTTCCGTATTGATTTTACTTATTATTAATGTATGGACACTAAAAATGAGCCTACTGGTTGTGTCAACATGTCTTTTTGTTTTTAGATTTTCCCGTTTACTTTCACTTTAAGCAAGTCCCTTGTAATCTTAATATTCTCCGGTTGGAAAAACCGGATGTATGTAAAGATGAGATATACCGGTAATGCTATGAGGGAACAAACTATATCTGTGTCAATGGCTTATCGACGGGCATGGGTTATCTATAACTAATTTTTGAGGTCAGTGAATAACCTAAGCACTATAAGATGCCTTATGATTTATCAATAGCCTATGCATTGATAGAACGTTTTTAGATTTTAATGCGGTATTGGCGCACTATTTAGGTCATGCGTTTTATTGTGTCAGGTGAGCTGCTAACTTCTCTGTTTAACATATAAGATGATATTTTTATTAGGACCATCTCTAGAGGTTAGACCGATGGAAGCTGGGACATACGAGACTCCAGGTGATTATAAATTTGTATTGTATTGTATTGTATTGCATTGTATTGTATTGTATTGTATTGTATTGTATTGTATTGTAAGCACACAAGAACGTGCTATAATTTCATACCCGCATACATTAAGAGGTTCAAAAATGATGTAGCACTTTTACTTACCAGTGCACAAGTACCGGGGTAAGATTAGATTGGTGACTGTACATAGCATGTTAATCCCAGGTCCCCAGCATTTTCAAAAAGTAAATAGATTTTCAAGTCCTTCCTCCCCTTGCAGCAACTGGAGAAATGATACTCTGATTTTTTAAATTTTAATGGTGTTTTTAATTGAGGCATCTTTTTAAGCACTCCCTCTGTGATGGTCTTTGTATTTATCGATATGTATGGCACCTCTCAGTAAGTGCTGATAAAAAACGCGAAGATCCGGCTGTTGTTTGTGTTGTTAATTACATTATAATGATATTTGTGATTATTTAATATTAATATTATTTAATATTTTAGGCCCTGAACTTAGAAGGAAGAGGTCACGGCTTGGTACGGACGCGAGTTCAAGTATGTTGCAGTCAAGGCTGTGTAGACTAATGTGTTGATAAATTAATGTAATAATAATAATAATTATGATAATATTAATAATAATTATGATAATATTAATAATAATAATTTTATAAAAAGACTTCTTTTGATTTGTCTCTTGTTCAGAAACGAATGAAAAAAACTATAACATATAAATAAAAACTGAAAGTAATCAATAGACAAATGAACGAGCAAGTAAATATATTTATGCATAAATGAAACGATGAGTATTTTTTTAAAACTGAAATCATAGGGCTGTCACAGTAACATGTAGTAAGAGATCAATTCAGCAGTTTTACTACAAATATGTAATTCATTCTTTTATCGATTTTGTCCCGTAGCACTACATGTACTCCGTGTATACAATAATGAAACGATTGTTGATTCAAAAGCAGAGGCTCCTGTCGATGTCGATGATCGCACGTCCCTTGTCAAGAATAGCTCACCCTCAAGGATCCTACCACCACGGAAACCTGTGCTGCTGTTTGGATCTAGAATATAAGTTCTAAACTAAATAACAGCACACCAAGTCTGCCTTAATGCGTGGCTACTAAAAAATATCGATGAGATGATTCTTTGTGTGAAAAAAATACGATCATCCTCCCCAGAGACAGTACCAGGTGTTCTATTGCCTAAGTGTTTACAAGCGTTGTTGCACGTGAGATTCATCAACAATGAACTTATGAAAATTATGAAAAATTTCGTAAAAAATTAACAACTAATCATCCCCCGTCGCCCGGCTCCCAATGGATATCTGTGCCACTGCGTTATAAAAATACATATAACATATAAAAAGCATAGGGGATCTTCTTTCATACATGGTCCTACAAAGGCACAATTGAAAGAGTCTTCGTGTGAAAAAAATGGAATTATTCACCCCATGGACAAATTCACGTCCAGTCGCTTTTACACTGTACATATTTTGAAGGGACAACGGGAATTATTAAAATAATGATACCAGGGTACATGTAGATGGGCGGTGCATTCGAATGGACGAGCTGGATGACATGGTCCCCGACTTATGCCCTAAGATATACATATCCAAGATAATAAAATACGCCCAGTTTGTATAAACGCCAATTGGTCTCTATGCACAGCTGTGCCTTTTCTCAAACTCTATTTCTTTTATTTTTCCTTTTTTTGTACTCTAGTTTTACCGTTGTTTTTTCAGTGACAGTTTTATCGAACTCGATCGACATATAAGCAGATCTCCTTCTTTTTTTTCCTCTTCTTCTTCTTCACCTCGTTATTGTTACAGGTTCTTCCTTTGACTCCGAAACCTTTTCGCCGACGCCAAGGTATCCTGTGCAGGTGGCTCCTGGATTTAGTAGTTGTGTCTACCCTACAGAGACTTCCCGTCGCAGTGGCCTTGTCGTCATCATCAATAATTTCACAGAAGAAAGAGAAGGTACCATTATCAAATTAAAAAAATATATATATTAGATAGGATTTTAGAGCCTGTCTAACGTATGCATTTATGTGTATTTCAAATGCTCTGCGGAATTATAACGGCGAATGAGGCAATGTCGTGAGATTTTGGAATTAATGTGGTCACGTGATATTGTTTGATGTTGATGTTATTGTTTTTCTCTTACTTCTGTGCCAAACAAGATACAAGATTGTCGTGCATGTTGTCACAAGTGTTACATCGAGCGGTCATGTAATGCATTTTCTAAACTGTACGGGACCGATTTAATATCTTTCTTGCCGAGGCAGTTTTCAAATGTTTTTAAAATGATATATCGAGCATAGTGGGACTTGGTTTGAAGCAGATATTCAGCAAGTTTGAACATAAAACCTACGGGTTGAGTTACATGTACAAAAGTCAACGTTTAAATTGTGGTCTTGACAATTGTCTTACTTTTTTTTTAGGTACCGAGCTTGACGTGAGGCATATACAGAGTGTATTTGGTGGTCTACTTCAATACACGGTGCTCACAGGGTCAGGTTACAAAGACTTGTCAAGAGAGCTGCTGGACAGCAAATTACAGCACATAAAGGACATGCTGCAGGAGACCCCGGGATACAGCCGATTCTTTCTGATAATACTGAGTCATGGAGATAAGGTACATATTTTTGGCACGTACGTAGGCCAATGTAGTTTGATCTAGTGAGAAGGTTCATAGGTTCTCCCCCAAAACTCCACCCCCTCCCAAAATATAAAATAATATCTAACAAGCGAAAAAAGTCAAAGCAATTTATGTCTCCTTGATCTAAGCTGATTTAAGTAATAGGACATGACAGTTAAAAGAATAGAACAAACTGAAGTATAATTTTCTAAATTTGGCCGCTGACGGCCGCATTTATTGAAGGTCCCGTTAATAAAAAGAAATGAAGCAGATTAATGATAAACATATGTATGACATTGAATAGTGTTGATAAATGATTATGGTCATTTCGAATAGACCGACCAAAATCATTTTCAACATAGTTCATCTCATTTTATCAATTACCATTCCTCATCTATTAGAAATATTATTGAACACATCTTGTAGCTAGGGATCTAAACTCAGCATACAATGTCGAAAATAAAGATGATTCGTTTTTGTTAAGACTTTTTAAATGTCTCAGGCTTGGAGTACGTCATACTGAAAGTACGGGCGATTTTATCAACGATTTTAAAAATCGACTTAAGACATATTCTTAAGTCCAGTATTTGAACATTCTTGCACATTTAATGCTAGTCCATCTTTAGTATTTCATTGTGTACTTGCACTCATGGTTGTGAATGTTGCACTGAATTACGACATAAAATCACTAAAATTGAGGTTATTAGCATATTCTTGTGTAATATATTGTTTTTCTTTAATTATTTGGTAACGTTTTTGTTTAAGGATGGAATTCGCACCTGCAAAGCTGATGGTAAAACCTGGGACAATAAAATCATAACAGTAAACGAAATAACTGAGATATTCCGAGATACACCGCTCATGATAGGTATAGACATCTACAATATCATTAATTACCTAATTTATCTATCAACTCATTGGCAATTTGCATCGTTTATTTGATACTGAATCTCATGTATCTGCGTATTCACCAGTCCGTCACAACAACTCTCTCTCTCTCTCTGATAAATATATTTATAATATAACAGGATTAATATGTTCTGACTATTTTTCTTCAAAATTTTGTAATTTCCATTCCAGTTGTAAGTGTATAATTTGGCGACGTAAGTTCATTTTGCTTCCAGACTTGCCCAAGGTGTTTATCATACAAGCTTGTCGCGGTGAAGATCATCAGAAGGCGACGCTAAGGTCAGATACTTGCCCTGTCGACGACACCGAGTACCTCAACTTGCAGATGGAAAATTTGCGGATCCAAATTTCCACGCCAATCGATGCAGATAACTTAGTGGCGTATGCGACAACTCCAGGTGAGTCGGTGGGTACGGACAACCGAGGTGTGTGTAAGCCTGCGTTTAAAATACGCTGTGCAAAGTCAAGGCATATCAAAATAGGGCACTAAGTTTTCATATGGTGAACATTTAAAACGTTAATAACATAAGACAAATGGGGTGGGAATTTGCTGTGTAATGATGCAAATAGATATATATTTTTTCGTGTCTTCAAGTAAAATCATATTCCCAACCCGAATAATAAATGAATGTGTATATTTTAGGTCATATTGCATGGCGACAGACGAATGAAGGTTCTTGGTTTATACACAACCTCTGTAAGGTGATAACCGACCACAGAAATGAACACTTTGTGGACATTTTGACGGAAACGTCACGACTTGTAGCACTTTTAACAGCGCCTCTAGAGTCAAACGGAATCAAGACTGTTGCTAAACAAATGCCTATATTTGTCTCCACACTGAGAAAGAAAATGTATTTGATTGACACTTAAAAGTCGCAAGTAATAATCACATAGAAAGTAAAACCGCCCATATATTGTCAGTTGTGTATGCAAATACGTGTTTCTTTTTTGTAGAATACATACAATACGTATTAGTGCGAGTATAGCTACACATCAAGGGAGAAGGGCTTGATGTTTTTGCAAGTTATACTTTAATTACTCTCTACTGGGACCACAGAAAGGTATTACACTAGATATTCTACTGTGTATTTTACACAGAAATGACCTCATCTCATAACTGGCCTCTTGAAGAGAGTAGCTTTAATTCAATACTGTGTTCATTGTAATAAGGCGGAGATAGTTGCAGGGATAGTTGTTTCAGCGCCGGTCATACTGTTTTACAGTAGTTGACAAAATATCTCTATCAAAATGATTTTTTTTTGATTGGGCATTATTCTTGTCGTTAATGTTGGTTGCCACACATTCAGTGAAATAAACCGCTACTACTATATAATTATATAAAAGACAAATGGAAGAGGACGCACGTATTGAAGTGCTGAAATGTAATTTTGCATAATATTAATTTGTTTGTATATATATATACAAAGTATGATTTGTGCACGACGACAAAGCAATACATAATCACTGAGCATATAGCATTTATTAGAATTATATTTGATCCATGGGGCATGACTGCTTGGATATTGTAGTTACATGTATAAAAATAATATATTGAAATGTAGTTCATCGTAGTTAACTTATTAACACAACACAGTATTAGCAGGCTGAAATTATTTTTTCAAATTAATGATGTAATAAATCCCTATCTGAAATTAACCTGTAGCTCTATTTGTCAAAGAGAAAATAAACCTCTTTCCTTTCTTCATTAAAAACGTTTGTACTCGTATCACCTGTGGCGAGTTTTAGTTGAAAGAGTCTGTGCCTAGATAGAAACAAAACAAGCTGCACAAGCCATACTCCAGATTTTCAACGAGCTATGCTTTTCCGGTTTTCATAATTCTCTTATGCTTTGAATGATATCTTGGGATTCCATTGCTCGTTCTGAAAAAAAAAAACTGGGTTGTTTATACTTGTATTCGATGTAAATTATAACTGGCGACTAGGCATTAAAACAGAATATATATACTAAAGCTTATACAAACACGGTTGCAAATAAAAGCTGGAGTTTCTCTGAATGTAATAATTGGGCAAGGGGGGGGGGGGGGTAACGACGGTGGACCGTACAGTACAAAACTGAACCAAAACTTTGACTACAAGTGTTTTCCTCGCGTCTGCACTTTGATTCAAACCACATAACGAGTCGACAGCATTTTAAAAAGATTCTAATATCCCTTGCATTTTGGAAAAGTCACAGTGTCAACCCAACATTTTGCCAATTTAAGTAAACTTTAAACCTCAAATTTGGGACCAACTTTCGGAATGCCTTTTATTTGTGAAATTAGTCTCAGCACCTCAGGAAGTTGAATCGAAGCAGGTTGGAATTGATTCTATTTGAGAAACGAACTAGTTCATGGAAGTTACATGTTTAAGATTATTTACCAGAACCCGTGCATATGTGTCTTCACGTGGAACCTTTACCTTTGACTATGCACAAGTGGCACAACAATTCTCCTGCAGGAACTCTAGGCTGCTGCAGTAGGCGGCATAAGACGGACACCAGGAATAGGCATCGGTGGTACAAGACGATGTGCCTGTAAAAGCAAATTAATAAAACAGCGTTAAATGCATAGCGTTGTTACCTCAGTACGCGTAGATGTGATCCTAGTTCTAAATCATTTGCTGTAAACCCGGCCATTAAGGAGTACATGCATTTAACCAGTATTTTATCAACTTAAAGGCCAATGTCTAAATTTATATTAGAAAGCATTTCAGGTTTTACTCTCTTGTGTCATATTGGGAAAACAATATACGTGAATGAGCACAACATTGAAACTCCCACATGTACAATAGTATACAAATTTGGATTTTTGTTTTGGGAAAAGGGGATTTAAGCAACTGCCTTCCTTTTTTAATTTCTCATAATGAACATATCTCATATATTCTAAATTATATCCAAAATATGATTGATACCTCCACCGCACGAGCCAGCGTTACAGGACCCAGTACTTCTCAAACTGTTATACAGACACTGTCCGTTATGACAACACCACGATCCACCGTTAGATGGCGCTGGGTTATTGCACGTCTTGGTTCGAGTCCTCTGTCCAGAACCGCAGGTGACGCTGCATGCAGACCAAGTTCCCCAGTCGCTCCAATTACCGTCCACGGTAGATACTGAAATCAGAGAAAAAAGATCGGATGCAAAGTGTACGCGTATCACGAGTATGCAGCGGCTGTATGTGAAGGGATAGAAAACTTCTGTGGTTGTGAATGTTTATTTACAGACACCATCATACCCTTTAATCATCTGTGTCTATCTTTGCCGTCATCACTGTCGCGTTGGTTGTCCGACACATACACTTTCACACTACAAATGTTAAAAGGAACAACAGACACAACCTCTTATTGTCTTATTCCGTAGTTAGAAAACGGTTATTCAGTTACTTTCTTCCCTCAGAGACATACCATATTTCCACATGTTTTAGATAAATTTTGCTAGGATACTGGAAACCATATAGATAAAAAAAAAAACGTGTCTAGCTGCAATTAAGAAGAAAAGTACGCAAAATAAATATGTAATTATCTACAAGATTCAGCAATTTACTTTATCTAGAGTTCAGTTCATTTTTGTTAACTCCTTTCCGTTTTGGGAGTAATAACTGATGGACATATTTCTATCAACCCTTGGCTGACATGGCCAATGCTATTTCCAGTTAAGTTTAACTCGGTGATTGACATATTTGGAGACAACTGCCCTACCCTGACATTCATTGGTGTTACACTCCTGGGTCTCGGAGGACACGCCGAGGCATGAAGAGCCGCCTTCACAGGCTCTGACTCTGGACCGGGTACCGCCGCCACATGTCCTTGTGCAAGTTGACCATCCGCCCCAGGGACCCCAAGAGGGCGCTACAAACGATAGTTAAAGTCTCTGAGCTAAATGAAACCAATGTACAAAGCCGCGGACAAACCAGAAATCAACTTCAATTTCAACATCAGACGACCAGATTAACGGAAGACAGCCCTGTATGCGGCCAAATTAGTCGGTAAAAAGCATTTACATGTATAAGAAATGGTTTGGAATACATATTGCCACTAGTAATCTTTCTTAAGACTCAGTTTTCACATATATATATATATCCTCCTACTGTGCAATGGTGATAAAACATAAACATATTACACTCACAAGTTGTGCCAGATCCTGCACAGGAATCCGTGTTACATTGTGAGGTTTGGGTGGCCTCTCCTGCGCACGTGCCAGTCTGTGGGCAACTGCGAGATCTCGTGCGAGTTCCTCCGCCACAACTAGCACTACAGCCACCCCAATTTTGCCATTCGCGCCACACACCTATCGTGAGAAATTCGCTTTTTTGTTTATCGTTATATGACGTTTGCTATACAATTGTTGCCGTACATCGGTTAAGAAAAAGATGTACTTGCTTCTTACATTTTTCAGATTAACCCGACTCTTAGCCGTAGACTACATGTAACTATAACTGGGGCAGGAGGCACTCTTAATTCTGGCTATGACTGTCCGGTGTAACGTGACAGAGAGTCCCCCATGATAGAGAGTCCGCTTCCCATTCATTTGTACAAGTAAGCCTCGCCCTAGATTTTGACGCACTCAGGACAGACTTACCCTAACCATTATAACTAAATAAAGGGCAGACTTTCTGTTACAAGGACCCTCAGTTTCGTTACACCGGTTCGTCTGGAGTGAAATAATGGATATTAATTCTTTCAGCCTTAACAAAAAAGTTTACGGTTAAAACCTTAAAACAGTTATCGGACATTTTATTCTCGTTATCTGAAAAGGGTACATGTAAAAAAAGATTTTCTCTTATTTTACTTTCATAAAGTAATGTTCAATAGATAATTGACAACATAATAATACACCTTACCCGACAGCTTAGACTGTGAATGGTAATAGCATTGGATACAGCAGAAACCAGATGCTGAAACCTGACTGTTTGCACACAAACGATCTCCATCTCTTCTGATGGCAGAGTTACAGGATTCCCAACCCTGTCCTACATTTATACTGGGGGCATCTGAATCTGGGCATTGGTCCCCTGGCCATCCTGAAAAAAACCCAGAAATTTATTAAACACTTCGACTATTTTAGGATAAAGGGTTGTGTATCGCTTTTTTAAAGTAATAGCATATTACACTAGGGCAACGCATACACGTGCGCACTTACACGTGAACACGCGCCCGCACGTGCATATTGATGGGAATGCGGTATTATGAAGGTAGAAACTGTTAATATTAAATCACGTAATCTACTGTGGCACTTTTGGCCTCAAACGAAAGACTAAAGATACACACTGAGAATAGTGCAGTGTAAACAAACCTTCGAAATCTAAAAATGTTTGCAATGTGCCGCAAGGATTGTTCGTTCATTATCCATAAAGCAGATTTTGATCTTGTCAACTCAATATTATTTGATTTGAGGCAATCAAAACACTTCCAGTGAAGTTGTGTTTGGGGCACAGAGATTATTTTGCAGAAATATCTAAAGAACATATCCTTATGAACATACATGTACCTGTGTCATAGTAGATTACGATGACTCCAAAAAAGTTTTAAATGAACTTGAAATGGCATGCAGTGTGCTTGTCTTATATTATGGTTACTGTTGTGATAATTGGTTATAAAAATTGCGTTAATTTGAAATAAAACAAAATTGCCTATAAATGATAATGTTGAATGTTAAAGAAAACGTAGTATTTATGCAATAAGTTTTTTCATGGAATGTCATCCTTTGTTCAGAAAGTTTGTCGAAAAATGAAAAAAAAGAAGTCTAAACGAAAAAATTGCATAGAATCAAACGTTATTTTACACTATAAGCATGCACGGTAGATATGAATTCGTTCAATAAAAGCATCAGTACCATAGGGGCACCAGGACGTCTGTTGATCGCTGCTACCATGGCTGCTTGGGAGGGGGTCCGTCTTGCTGACACAAACGCCCTCTATGCACCATTTTCCTGTGTCACAATCAGTGCCGTCTGCTGGAGGTTTATAGCCATGTGTGTAACCGTTGCCTGATCTACACCAAAGGTACTGACAGAAGTCGTGATCTCCTTCTTCCTGCAAAAAAAAAATAAATAAATAAATAAATAAATAGATAAATCATTGTGTGTCGTAATCGGCGTGTTGAAATTCCTGACATGTAAATTGTCTCGACGTGTTTTGGTTTCAGTAAATATATTTCCATAATGGAGTGAAGTGGTAACCGTACAGCAAAATTTAAGTTGCATTCCAATAAAGGCAGATATATGCACACATACCAGTACAAGCACACAGACACGCGTGTACATGTACACACTCACATTTTTCATATAGGCCTACAATCAAAGATACAGAAGAAGTAGCTTTAGTTGTAAAAAGAGAAGACGTACACGAATTGAACACTGTATATATATTTTTTTTCAAAAAAAAAAATAAATAAATACGCACGTATTTGCGCGCACATTTTTCTCAAAAGAAGAACACTGAGTCTTTTTACCTTCCTTGGGACAGAATTATCTCCGTAGAGCATCCTGCATTGTTCTGTTGCTGAATACAGCTGCCCTGGTAGATGCTGGGTGTGTGAATTATATTCCGCAGCATTCCCATAAGTACCGGTGTCCACAAGACAGCACGCATCGCTAAAACGATATGGCCACATTTCAGTCTCACTCTCGTAACGAGAGGCAGCGAGGGTGGAGCACTAAACCTTTGAATACTATTGTATGGTTGGAAAGGACTGTGCGATGCATTCACAGTCTGTAAATAATGAAATCTGACTTACATATAGGCTTAAAGGCCAGTTACATTTCTGTACCCTCTCCAACCCCTCTTGTCCGCAAATTCATTTGTTCTCGCCGGGTCTTCAATATTTGCAGAATGTCTCATAATAAGCTGCTACGGCAGAAGTAGGATAAACCCCCATACTTACGCTAGCCCCGTTTTAAATTCTGCGACAGAACAAGCGGAGAAATAGTATCCGTTGGTTGGATTCGAGCTACCGGCAGAGGGCGCCATGATATTTCCGGCTGATGCAGAACACGCCCTGTTGTCGTACGAGCTACTGTAGGAACCGTCGTGGTGAGATCCCAGACTAGAAAATTAAAGTAGAGAAAGGTATATAAAATACCTACATCGAATATAGGAGAATAAACAAACGAGAAGCGAAATTTATAAGATATGGTTCTTATAGAGTTTACTATTTTCCTTTGAAATGGTAGTTGCAGACCAAACTGTCGTGTTGGTGTACCTGCCGTAGGTGGGTAGGTACCATCAGCGCAGGGGCGCACGGCGGGTCGAGAGACACCAAAAATAATCAGTGCAACTTACTTATGCCCCAGCTCGTGAGCCGCTGTAATGAAGGAGCTGAATCCGCCATGTGACTCGAGGACAGAGCAAGACGAGGCCAAAGAACAAATACCAGAAACAGGTGCATAACCGGCCACGTTGGTGTCTGATGTAGAAGAAGCAAGTTCTCGCCTGCATATAAAAAAAAGAATAGAAATAATAAGATGGACTTATGCAAATAACAATTTACATGTCTTTCTATTCACCTTTAGAATGTACTTAAGTAGAATGAATTAGAATATACTTAAATATATATCATACAATGTACTACTGTCACGATGCTCACAGAAAGGAAGGTATATACTGCATTATAACAAGATGCCTTGAAGGGGAAAACCCACGTGCACGTCTTATATTTTAGATGAGTCTGTTAATGTTCAGACGGACAGCCCAGTAACACTTGTACTTGGTACACCTACATTGTGAAGGCCATCCCGTGGTCATGTTCTGGGAGACTCCCGAGGTTATCCCTTCTGTAGTTGCACCAGGCATTCAGGGACTGGTCATGTCTCACCAACTGCCGCCCGTCCTTTACGGCCCCAGAGAACAAGTTGCCGCTAAACCAGGTGGACTGACTGGGGCTCTGATGATAGCAAGAATTGCAGCATAAGATTAATTTTCCCGTTTTAGATTGAGAGTATTGATTGTATTGGCTTTGCGTGTGATTTTTGTTTCGCTGATTGAAATATTTACCTTTGCGATAACATATCCAGATAGAACGATGTAAATGTTCAAATCCCGGTCTTCTATGTTTTGGTACCGCAAGTCAATCTGAAAGTGGAAATCTGATTAACACAAGTATCCAGTACTGTTCGAATAGTTTGATAAATACTGGCCCACATATTTGTTATATGGAAAATGGAATCCTAGCACACGTAAATATGAAAGTATTGTATGGCTTATATCATAGAAAAAATATTTTAAATAATCATGTAGAATACTGCTATAATAACGAACTGAGGACCTACTTACCCCGTTCACAAGCAGTGCGTAGTATTTTCTTAACTCGGTCTCTGCCGCCTCTGCGTTGTTGTTATTCCGCGAATAGAAATAGTCCCAGACGGAATCATCAGTAGACACCAACAACTCAACGCCAGCGTTGATGTGGTTGCTACTAAATGACGTCTGCTTCCTTTGCAACTCTACGGCCTTTTCCGATTTTTTGTTCCTAACAGTTTCCAACACTTCTAGCAGAGTGCGCAGCAAGTCGGACCCTCCATTAGATTTCGCTGTCTTATCTGAAACATGATCTAGCGATCGTCTGCTTGTTTCCCCTGAAATGCAGTTTTCTTATTACATACTAGCATTCTTCAAACTAAAAGCAGTTTATAGTATTCTGAATGGCAATATATATTTGGTATTCGGAAGGTTTGCCTTCCATTTACGATTCGCCCTTTACTGTAATTTAAACTGTAATGCACGTTTTATTTGATTTCTTCAATTCGATTATTTATATGATATCTGAATATTGTTTGTTTAAGTGCAGTTTTTTAAACTTCAAATATTCTTCTACTTATTGGATTTCATTCAAATATCCAAAACGGATGTATTCATTCACAGTACCTGTAATGTCATTTTAATGACTTAAACTGTTTTGACAAATTTCCATAATGAATACCAATGGCACGTACTTACTCTCATAAGTGTCGTCGAAAGACCGCACCTCTGGACCTGGTTTTTTGGCCTCAATATTTTGCCGGAAGACAAGGTATTCGTCGTCCTTCAGGTGGCGCATCTCGAACATGTCGTTATTGTCAATGACAAACCCTTCCTATTCAACAAAACATGATGTTAAAATTAATTGGACGATATTTATTTGAGAGGAATGCACTTTACAAACCCTGTTTTAGTAAAGAGATAGTAATTATGTAGAAAGTGTAAAGTTCGCATGAAGCTAATGGAGGGCGTATTATATCTACATGTATAACACGAGCCTCAGTTTCTCCACACCGGCCAATATTGTAAACTGAGTGTAGCTTCTCCTTTCATTCACAGTCCTTCGACAACATCGGTTTCTAATAATTCACAGGAACGTTCGAAGGGGTGTTTAAAATATCATTTTAATATTAGCCAAGAGAGATACGCTCAAATAAAAACAGGTAAAGAGATCTAAGAAATGAAAGAAATAACCATCTAAAAGAATATCGACAAGGGATGCAAAATAACCTTTTTTATATAACACATCCGAATGAGATATCAAAAACAAACTTGTTGCAATTTTTGACGCCATCTGGACCTTACCAGGACAGGATCATCTCAGAAATGGAACACACTTGTACTCTTTATTTATTTAGACCGTCCCGACAGCTTTAGTTTCCACGGTTCTCATCTTACACATCCGTAGTCAAGGCGAAGAGAGAGAGAGAGGTTATGTATCCCTCGCCAAATCATCATACCAATGTTTTGATTGCCTATATATCGTATTCAATATACCAGCCTGGCAGGCAGAGTTCCATGTTGATTTATGAAAGCTCAACACCCTATACTCCTCACTCACCTGTACAAACTATGCTAAGGGCCTCAAATTCAACCACTTTAACTCTGTAATTGACCCTTACTCGGACCAACGTGTTTAGATATGGTAAATGCATGATATAATATCAAACGGACTAAATATTTGGATTTTTTGGTGCGAGTACCGAGCGCTGGCGACAGTGATTTAATTGGCAGACATTTTGTAAATATCAAACATCTTATGAATGGACTTAGGATCTCTTTTGGAGATAATTGGTAACTGGAACAACTAGCATGTCAAATGATATGCATTTATGTTCTGCTTTTTCATGACAAAGAAAGTAAATTATGTAATTTATACCAATATCATTGGCATCCGATTGGAAGTATATAGGCCTATATTACAATGAAAAGTATTATATATACCAGAGAAACTTAATGCATGTACAACTTACCATTCGCTTATTGGTCTTTCCATCTGTGTTAACTTTGGAAACTGCCACTGCAGCATTATTCTTCTTGTCATGATACACAGCGAAGTCCTGGAGAAAAAATGTGCAAATATCAATTTTCGATCCAATCGTGGCACACTGTATATTCTGTCTTTGACGCATGAGAAGTTACTACATGTAGTACAAGTGAGCGCCAGTGTTAACTTTCCATTCATATGTTTTCTACAAAAATTGCATTGAGTCTAATCTCATTTTCGCTACTTTTATTTACTGTATGGGGTCAACCCCAATGAAACAATCGGTCTTTGTAGATCAATCCACCTACACGGAAACTCTTGCTGAATGCGTTCAGTTTAACAAATTAACACTTCAGCTTTTCTGTATTCCACTCAACGCCAGGAGGAAGCGTGTTAATATGTTAAACTGATTGCATTCAGCGCGAGAGTCCCTGCGGATTTGGATCGATCTACGTGGACCGATAGTTTCATTGGAAACGAGCCCTATATCTATTTCCCCTTGTTCGATTATTCAACACGCGGTGTTCGGTCCACACCAAAATTACTGCCTCCTCCTTTTTCTGACTTTCTCTCACAAAGTCCGTTTTATTCTTCTTGAATAATATTAAAGCGTTCTCAATTTAACGGTTAATTTGAATACCAGTAAATAAACAAACACAACTCAAATTGTACCTCAGTTTAAATACTAATGAAAATAAGTACACGTTTATAATTGTATATAGCTAAAGTACTGTATGTCAAGTACATGTACCGGGTATAATACATACATCATTGTTTTGTGTCGATTTCTTTACTACTGTTCCATCCTCCTGGGCATAATAGACGGGCGCGTTCTTGAGGTCCACGTGCTTATTTTTCTCCAACTGAAGGTCAAATTTCTTGCCGTGAGCTTCGAACTGGTACCGAAGGAAAGGCTCAAGCTGGTCGCTGGCAGCGTTCAAACCTCGTTCAGCAGGAATGGCTTCTATATCCGGAGCAAGTTCTCGCACCTTCACAGCCTGGGCTTCTAAAATACACACGTAAACAGTAAATATATGTACTTTTTTTTAAATTTTAAACTATCGTTTGCCAGTTATATATCTTTATGACTTCAAATTCAATAGGTCCTCAAGTGATGTTTCTGTTATGATATTAATATCTTGATTCCTTTAATTTATTTTATCTCTCAAGAAAGAATATTTTGCCTGCCTCTTTATACAGTGAAAGCAAACCCAGTGCCCAGTTTTACCAAATGAGACGACAGCTCGAAGAAGGGACACTTTTTATATGTTTTTCAACTTTGCATCAATTTTTAAAGCAATCATGTTTGCCAAGCCAAGCGCAAGATCCATCCATTGAAACATAACATAGTTTTCAGCCCCTTTTCCTTATCGAATTGCTCAATTTTAGTACGAGAATGAGTTTCTTAAAGCGAAATATCAAAAATTGCTTTAGATAAACAAGAGGCACGCAAATGGCAATATTTGGTTTATAACCATGCAGATTTCAAACTCTCTTTAACCGCTGAAATATGGTTGAGTTCAGAGACTACTAATACATGTATATCCAACATATCTAGAGTAGTCTGACGACTAAAAAAAAATAAAGACAAAAACTATACGACAAAAATTACAATTACAATCCAACAAACTAAAAAGAGCAACAACTGAAGTAAAATAACTTACGGACATCGCCGAGATCTATTTTTGTGATATAAGCAGCGTCCAGCACCGTCCCTGTCACGGTTAGAAGGAACACACATAGGGGTAAACCACTCTTCATTTTCGTTTCTCATTCACTTCTGGTGCGGCTGGGGCTACTGGCTTCACCTTTTATAGGGCCCGTCTGAGGCATGGGTCATGATCATTGGTGCGACCTCTTTATTAAGAAGTGAATTTAGGCGGGGGGGGGGGGGGGGTGATCAAAATGTTGCGGAATGTTTAAATCAGTGTTCATAAGAGTGGTCCGCTTTTTAGTTTGATTATGTGACCAGGGTATGGGCACTGTACTACAAGTAATGTATAAGGCTAATTTTGCAGAAGGTATGAAAAAAATCAGCAATGGAAATAGACTAAAATGGACAAAAGTCGTGTAGAGCTTCAGCTTCTAACATATTGTCAATATAAAAAAGATATGATTTTTGCACGTAAATGACCCATGTTGACTTGGTAATTTCATATTTATCTACAAGTTGTGGAGGGGACCAAAAGGCGTTTTAAAAAATTCTCGCCTGCCATTCCCTTGCTGTTTATGCACACAATAATAATAATAATAATAATAATAATAATAATAATAATAATAACTATTATTATTGTTGTTATTCAAATGACAGTCGTGGTTTAAAAAGCTCCTTTTTAAAGGGTGCTTCGAAAGTGACTTCATAATTTGTCCATGAACTTTTTGATCCCCCTTGCAAAGCACATCAAGTTGAAGGTCCACTTCAGTTTTAATGACGTGATGTCCGGCGAATGTCCGTGAAACAAGGTAAAACGGCCACGATCTTCATTTGATAACTTTAAACGCAACAGCAAATGTTGACAAGGACGTAATTTTTGTTTGCACTCTCGCAAGAAGAGCCACTCCTTGTGTTGGTACGCACGAATTCATATTTGCAGTCAAACTCTGGACTTGATCGAAACTCCGTCTTTTGGATTGTTGTTGAAATTCCTTGTATGATTATGTGGGGTTAAAAGTCAGGTTAAAAGTGTCAGGTAATATAACAAGAAACATAGATTACTCATCGATAAGTATAAGTTGAAAGTTACGACTATGGCATCTTTTTACACTTATTAGCTTATTGTGTAAACAAATTGGTTTAACTGTGTTTAAAAAAAATTAATCTGACCATGAAAATGCGAGTTCACTTTTCGTCTATACATTTCAATCAGAATAAATTCATTTAACAGTTCAATTAATTCACAAACCGAGCGTCGTTGCGTTTATTTCAATAAGTGGTCTTTATTTCAGCTTGTTGTCATTCCTACTGTAGCAGATCGTAACTAACGTGCTCATATAGAATGACCGTCTTATTTTCCTTAAAATTCTTCAGCAGTAAATAGCAACTTGAACGGGGTCTTTTTCTTGTCGGATAACTTTTATGTGATTTCAATCAAACCATTTAAAGGTACATACGAACCGAGCATCGGTGGAGTGTGGATTCCCAGTAACACATGGAAACCACTTCTACTAGTTTCTTATACAACTCAAATAAATTCGACATGCCAAGGGATAAACTGAATAGAGCACTCGATCAGCCATAAAAGAGCTTTAGACTGCTCCTTTTTTAAATTTTTGGTCAGAAATTTAACCTACTTTCGTGACCTACTTTTCTGCCCCATTGACATACGTACAGCATAGATTGCTAGCAGAAAAATCCATGCAAACATCATTTTCGGGTAAAATTAAACAATGCCTTTTGGTAATTCTCTTAGTTATACTACTTCAAACTATATGTTGGCATTTGGTTGGTTTTTGTGACAAAAAATTGACTTTGTATGCATCTTTAATCAAATCATCTAATATAAATGTCATCGAAATTATAGGAAGAAAGGCAGTTAACTGACTGACAATACTTCAATAAACGAAAATGTTTATTGTAACGCTCCGATGCTTCCCCTATATGCATGTGATTTTTAAATTTATTTTGTTTATTTTATTTTATTCTTATTTTAGTTTTAATTTCAGTTTGATATTTTGATACTTTTCTGCAAACCGGCAATGTGAAATACATGTGTCTGTCCTTTCATCCACCCAAACAAAAATAAAATAAAATAAAATAAAATAAAATAAGAAACGCATTTTATGGTTTTCTTTTTTTTTAACTTACTCACGTCAACCGGAAGATTTACTCTTTGAAAACATCCGATTTTACATTTTGATTAGACCTCTTATTACAATCTCTTATGTTTTAGAGCTGATTTCATTAAACATTATTTAGTTAATTATTTCATTAAACATTATTTAGTTAATTGTAATCTTAGATACAATTACACATACACGTGTAATACACGTATATTCATTGCATTTAAAAGACGTCATATTCATCTATTTAATTCGCAGTTAAACCACACAATAAGCCTATATCTCATAGAACTGTTAATTAATTTAACATATTTTATGAGCAAAGGTATGGTAACAACACTACACAGACATTAAGTCAAAAGAACATTATCATTTTAAAACGAAAAGATGCCTGTATTTTATTTCAAAGACTATCTAAAAAATCTCTGAGATTTAAAAAACGTGAGTAAAAGATGTAAGGAAAAGTTGTCATAAAAAATAATATAATGATGTATTATCCTCCATGTATATAAATCTTGGGGTTTTGTAATATGATACGAATTAACAGAGTGCAATTAGCACATACTGTATAAGAAGAATTAATCATCAAACCTTAAATGAGAAATAATTGTGATAATTAAGCCGCAGTTCAGTTTAGTTTTATACATACATACATATTGAAGGCGTGGATAGCGTGAGATTGTGGTATCTCCTACAGATTCTATCTATGGATATTATGCACGCAGTAAAACAGCGATCCGTTCAACAAAATATCGGTAATGCTACTGGTGTGATTGTTGTGAGGGTCTACTCTGCTTTGCTAGTTTGTGATGGACTGCTGTTCAATAAATCATACTAGTATAAGGTAAGCATGCAGAATCTTTTCACATTTTTAAACAACGCGTCTGAAAAAGTGTAAAAGCTCCGAAACACCATTTGATTCCTTTTTTATCGTTTTCCTGTCTTTTTGTCTTGAATCGTTGTTCGACCTAAAATATGGAATAAAATAATATATTATATTAAAGGTGTTTTACAATATCATCATGAAAGACCACAATATAAGTTTTAAATGTATATGGTACTAAGTACATATAAAACACGAATTTTCAAGAGAGCGATAGATATAAAGCCCGTTTCACTTGAGCAGATATAATACATTGATTGTACCGTATTAAAAAGTACTTACTTTTTGTTCACAGCCCAGGTCTCAGACACCACTACACGACAAACAGCAGAAATCTTTCAAAGCCTTTGACTTTACGCAGTACATTTTGAAAATTCTTCTGTCAAAGGTTCTGCAGAATCTTTTATCTGTGCACGAACCTAGAGATAAAAGTGAACCTTGAAAATCATCTCAGATCAATTAAAATAGTGGTGTATGCATTAGCTCATAACGTAAAGATACGAACGGCGGCCAGTTTGTACCATCTCTATCAAATTACTTAGTTCTAAACAAATTTATTATCACCGCCGTACGTAATTAGAAGCAGGAGAAATAAAGCATTTGGCTTGCTGCAATACTTGACAAACGTTGTTTTCCAAAATATTTTTGGAACCTTCTAGAAATAGGTGATGTGGGCATGAAAGTAAAGAAATAAACAATAAATATCATCTATCATTTCAGGTCCATTAAAATAAAAAGTATACCCATTGTCTCAAGAAGCACTTTCAACTGAGGAATACTTTGAACTCACCTCCACCACATGGGCCAGCGTTACAGAACTCGGTGCTTTTCAAACTGTTGAACTGACACCGGCCGTTATAACAACACCACGATCCACCGTTAGATGGCGCTGGGTTATCGCACGCTTTGGTTCGAGTCTTTTTTCCGGAACCGCAGGTGGCGCTGCATGCAGACCAAGGTCCCCAGCCACCCCAATTACCGTCCACGGAAGATACTGAAATCAGAGAAAAAGATCGGATTTATGGAAAACGCGCTTTGCTTGAATAAAAATAATAGTAACAGAAAACACCGTTATGTGTCATCATGTACATACTGGGTATATTTGTAACAGAGGAAGCAAAACTTGAGAAAATACATTTCAAACAACGTTTTATAAGAATTAAAGAACAAAAATTTCTTAGATCCGTTGCAAGAACTTTTTGAAATGCATATAGATTGTAAACAAACTACCCAAATTGGCCTATGTAATTGTTGTTGACACTGACGGTAACTATTCAATTTCTACCTCCGACAAATATCGATTACAGTACTTGCACTGCTTATTTCTTTTATTTGCGACTCCTTTTTTTTTTTTAGTGGCACAACGGATGGTTATTTAAGTACAAAAACCAGATGACTCACGTGTATCATAAATGATTTCAAGTCTCTGACGATATAATATCAAATTGGTTCCACATGGAACTCATCGTCACCTACGCTACTGAATTGTGATCATACTCGAACCAATCCAAAGTATTTGAAGTTAAAGTTGGCAAGGTTAGAGAACAACACACTTTTCTAAGTAACATAATTTTAATGCTCTGCAATCAGAGTCAAAGCACATGCATGACGATGCATGTTCACCATATACCTGGGCACTCATTGGTGTTACACTCCTGAGTCTCGGAAGACACGCCGTCGCATGAAGAACCGCTTTCACAGGCTCTGTCTCTGGACCGGGTACCGCCGCCACATGTCCTTGTGCAAGTTGACCATCCGCCCCAGGGGCCCCAAGAGGGCGCTACAAACGCATTTCGAAATGAAGGTCAGTTAATATGAACCCTATAAAAACTACGATGCAAGGGTATCACTTTCCTCTACGTCAAGGGTGGGGGGTGGTNTGCTGTCGCACCTGTCACATTGAGCGTGTTGTGCAATAACCAAACTAGAAGCACAGTGGCGGATCTAGAATTATTTGAAGGGGAAGGGGGGCAGTTTTTTTAAAGAATGACAGGCCTCAGATGCGAAGTAGGCTCTTGCCCCTTTGGTGTGGGGTTCGGTGTTTTGGAGGGCAAACGGTGCCATTTGGTGCAGTTTAGAACAGTTTACTATGATTTAGCTCTTCAAAATTCTAATATCAAGAGGGGAATATTGGTGCGATTTTTTTCCAGAAACCAAAGGAGGGGTCAGGACCCTCCACCCCCCCCCCCCAAAAAAAAAAAATTCGAAAGCACCCCGGATAGCATCATATTTTTTGGACTGATTGAAAAATATGAGCCCCCGCAATAAAAATATGCGAAATGTACAAAATTATTTACATTTTTCACTGTGATTTGTATGGCAAGTCACATAAAAAAGGCCTCAAGACCCCCCATATCTATCTTTTTCAAATTTCAAGACCCCTCCAAAATTTTGCTTCAATAATTCCACGGACCCCTCATTTTCTCCTCTCTACCCCCACCCACCAACTTATATAATGACCTGTTCCTTAGTTTTGGAACCTGCGCAATTTTAAAACTAACCAGAGTGTCAAAAAATGTACACCAAAAGTTAGCAAATGAAAGTGGCACCGACCATTATTACTCCCAGTAGTGGTCGGCTGAGAAACGACGCAAGGATCAGTATTACACTGCACAGTCTGTGAAGATTCTCCTGCGCATGCGCCAGTAGTCGGACAAGTGCGAGATCTTGTGCGAGTGCCGCCACCGCAACTAGCGCTACAACTTCCCCAATCTTGCCACTCTCCCCACACTCCTGAAATAAGCAGGTAGCAATGAATTAATTAATTAATCTTAGTTTCAGAACCGTTGGTGGCCAGCTTTTCAAAATTTCCCGTACACCTCTGCGTGCCTGCGTACCAGGAGCCATACATGTGATCCGCTTCCTATTACTTTACTGTACTGTCGTCCTATATAATTCTCCAACTAACCCTAACCTGTACTAAGCATATGGGAGACCGGACTTCCATTCCTAGGACTGTCATTCCTGTTACACCGGTTGAAAGGGCAGCGGTGTCTGCATTGTTAAGTTTACTTTAGCGATCTTAAAATGCTTGTACATCTACAGTGCCACGGGTTTTAACGAAAACACAAACATGTAAATGTCCTTCAAAGAGGTCAAAATTTTGGAAAACTTATTTAAATTTACATTATGTCTGCTTGTCATCCAGTCGTATTTCACATAAATGAATTTAATAAATGGAGTACTAGATTTTCAAAAACTTTATTTTTTATACAAAAACATTTCTGTGCGATAAACTTCATCCAGACTTGCCTTTGACGGTGCATGGGACCTTATAAAACTCAGGATGTAATGATACAATGCCGGTTGCTAGTAATGACTTCGTCTAGCAACCGGCATTGTATATCTATTAATCCCATGAACAATATATTCCTTCATATGTAAATGTCGAGCTCTAAAATCTACAACAATTCTGAATAAACATTTTCTTCTCTCAGAAACTAACTCTGAATGATTTGCTACTTTTATGAAAGATAAGTTTGAACAAGTCATAAATGCAAATTGATATTAGACGCCAGTTAATACTGATAAAAGTGGCCCTTACCAGTTAATTTTGACTGCGAATAGTAATAGCATTGCATACAGCAGAAACCGGATGCTGAATTCTGCGCACTTGCACAAAAGCTGTCTCCTTCTCTGTTGATGGCAGTTGTACAGTTCTCCCAACCCTTCCCCACATTAATGTCCGAAGCATCTGCATCCGGGCACAAGTCTCCTGGCCAACCTATATAATGTATATCAACTCTATCTATCAATAATATTTTAAAGAATTATAATTCAATACTATACAATATACTGGCCTCTTATTCTTTTTCAGAACTACACGTATCTACTGCAAGACTACGCACCAGTATTCTATCATTCTTGCACCAGATGTTCCCACCAAAACACACTGTAATATAACTGTTCCGATAAATCGTTTAATTTTTATGGTGATAACAAAAACTTGCCGTAAGGACACCACTCTGTGCTTTGGCCACTGCTCCCTTTGCTGCTCTTGAGAGGAGTGTCCTTGCTGACGCAAACGCCCTCTATACACCATTTTCCTGTCGCGCACTCAGAACCGTCCGCAGGTGGTTTGTAGCCGGTGGAACATTGTCCATTAGAGTTAGTACACCACAAGTGCTGACAAAAGTTGTTTGACATAAAGCTCTGAAAATATATCGGAGCTTTAGTTAAGAAATGGTTGTGAAGACACCTCCTGTTCTTTTATTATAATTTGATAATGAAAAAAAATTGCTGAGAGAGAGAGAGAGAGAGTACTCACCAGGCACGGATTAGAGCCTTCACCATGCAGCATTTTGCACTGCTTATTCACATCATACAGCTGCCCTGGTAAATCCTGAGTATGTGACTTGAACTCTTCAAGGTTTTCGTATTTTCCAGTATCCTTAAGACAACACGCATCCCTGAAAGACATAATATATAACATTCTTAGCCAGGGAACCTGACTATAGGTTTTTTTTTTTTTTTTTTTTTTTTTTTTGTGAAACTGGGGCCAGAAAAAAGAGCAGTGAACTGTGTAATTTGACATCATCAGTCAACTTTCTCATTAAGATACTTTGTTTTTGTTAATTAGTATGAAGAATATTAGCACAAATTATATCAATAGCGCATATGTGCAAATTTCACTTAGGGTGTATTCCCAGAGATTTAGATCGATCCTGAGATTAAGATTTAGATCGACCTAACTCCCTGGGGGTTCACGCTAAATTGCAGTCAGCCGAGCGCGCACCATAGTTAATTACCCCCTTACAGCTTTCAGTAGGCGGGACAGACGCTTAAGCCGGCTAAGCTGACAGTAATCAAGTGAGACTCCCCACAGGGATAGATCGATCTAAAATCTATGGAACTGGGGTCTTAAACATACCTTGAGGTCGGTTACCACAGATTGCTTAAAAAAGTCCCAATCGCTTCAAAATTTGTCAATTCCATGTACACCCATATAGCTTAATGAGTACAACTTACTTCAGGCCGCTTTTGAACTGTTTGATGGAACAAGCGGAGAAATAATAGCCATTTGTAGGATTGGAACCTCCGGCAACTGGCGCCATAATATTGGCGGCATTGGAAGGACACGCAGTGTTGTCGTAGGGGTTAGAACCACCGGTGCTGTACGAGCCGTCGTGCTGGGCCCCCAAGCTGGAAAAAAAAACGGCATGACACTGCAATACTCACAGGTGCCAAAGTACAGGTAAGTGTCACCACGCCGTGTAAATAAACGGTTGAAACACCATTTTTAAATAAACACATCCTGATGATCGGGCATACCTTATGGGTATACCCTTAAAACTCAGAGTTGGGGTTCACACATGTCTCGTGTTTATTTATTTACTAATTATTTTTTTAATTAAATAAAC